CTCCCACACTCACTTGTCCTCAACCTCCTAGGCCCCCAGCATGAGGCAAGGTTGTCGGAATGTTTGGGGACAGTTGTAACCAACCTAACGGAACAGACAGCTCCTCCTCCCCTGCCCACCTGCCCAGGTGAGCTGAGTGTGGAGAGCTGAGCCTGGTCTGGGGTCCCCCTAGTAGGGGGCAGCGGATGCCAGTGCCTGAGACCACTTTTGACCCAGCCCAATGTAAGCCTCAGTTCCAGCCCTGGCCCTTAACTCTGGGCAACGCGGCTGAGAGCTATAAGCCTCAGTTGTCTCATCTTGAAAATGGAATAGCTACCTCCCTGAGTTGTTAATGTGACAGGAGTGTGATGGATGCCTGCTGCAGAGCCTGCTTGTGACACGGTGTGTGTCAAACACCATCCATCTCAAATGGGACATCTCAAGGGGTGGATCACAGTGCGAGGGATGAGAGGGGCCCTTCAAGGACCTGCCTGCCCTGACCAAGGGACAGGGGCAGAGGGAGCTCGACAGCGGAATGTGGCCTGCCCCTCTTCACTCAGCAACCCCACAAGTCCTCAGACAGGTCACTATGGCCCAGCCCTTCTTTTGGGGGCCAGGAGGGACACCTCATCCACAGCAAGGCCTGTGGCCTGCTCCCACCTGAGCTCGGAACCAGACCTGGGGGAAGGGCTGGGCCTGTCATTCACACCCTGCCTGGGTCCCTTCTCTCCCAGGAAGCAGGGCAGTGTCAGATCCTGCCTGACCACCACAGGCTGCTCCCAACGCAAAGGAAGGGCCACACCCCGGGCTGCCAGCCTGAAGGCCTGAAGCCCTTCTCCTGCCTCAGGCCTAACACACACAGCAAAAGCCCAGGCTGCGGAGCCACACGCCCCACTCCCGATCGGGCCCTGCTCCCGCCCTTGTCCCTTCGCCACACTCCCCTGCCCACTCTAGCTGGCTTTGCAGTCCTCAGACTCCCCAAGCCTCAGGGCCACTGTGACCACTGTTCCCTCTGCCTGGATGCTCCCTCACCGCAGCTGGGTTTGTTCCTGCTGGCCACTCAGCTCTTCACACCAATGTTGCTGCCTAAGCAAGGCCTTCCCTGACACCCAATCTGCAGTGGCCTCCAGTGTGCTCCATCTGCTGGGCTGGGCTGCCCCGAGCACGCTGCTCCAGCCAGGCCTTTGTCTGCAGGTGGCCCCACGCCAGCCTACCGCTCCTGCTCCTACTCTGACCACCTCTCCCTTCCAGCCCTGGGCCACGTCCTGGTGTGAGAGCCCCCTCAAAGTCCCCCTTGTCCCTGCTGCTCCCTGTGTGTCACAGCACTGGGGACTGACAGAGATCCCCCATCATCACAAGGCAGGAGGTGAGGGCATCAGTCCAGGCCCTGTCCCCTGGCCAGATCCTCTGCCCAGGGCTGAGCTCATGCTTTGGGATGCAGCCACTGTCCTGAGTCCTAGAGCAGCCTCCAGCTGATACCCCCTCCCCCACAACCACCGCCAGACCATCCTGAGGTACCCTGATGCCCTTCACACATGATCCCAGCCTCTGATGGGGGGGCCGGGCAACCCCAGCACATCAGAGAACAGATGGCCCGTTCCATGGGTAGGTGAGGGAACCCAAAAGGCCAACAGGAGTAGGGGGACCATTCCCCCTGATGCTTCCATCTGCAGCAGGAACAAAAGCAGCCCTGGGCGATAGAATTCTCCCTTCCCTCTAACTGGGTTTTGCAGCCTCGGCCAACTGCACCAGGCTTACCACCCCTCCCCGGTCTGGGTGTCTGGCTGTGACCTGCAAAGGCAGTAGTGGGTGCCAGTGTGGGAGGGAAGGCACCAGGCCCAGCTGCAGCCTTTTGTGGCCATTGTCCCCAATGCCAGGCACAGGGGTGTGGCTCCCAATCAATGGCGGGGAGGGCACTCACAGAGGGAGTGAGGCCTCCTCTCTCCAGAACAGCCCTGCTGACAGTGCTGTGGCAGCACAGGGAGACGCTTCCCATGGAACACAATAAAACGTGAAAGGTGAGATGCAAACTGGGTACAACCCAGGATTAAACTGTTTAAAACAACAACCTGAGCAATAAGACCAGAAGGAAACATATCACAGTGAAGCTTGTGATCAGGTTAAGTGGTTAAGGGGTAATGGACATCTCTTCTGCTATCATCTTCAAATTTTTCTTTTTTTTTTTTTTCCTTTTTTTGTCTTTTTTCGTGACCGGCAACGAATCGCAACCCTCAGTGTTGCGCCCATACCGGACCAGGACTGGCAACGTGCGCCCGTACCGGACCAGGACTGGCAACAGATCGCAACCCTCAGTGTTGCGCCCGTACCGGACCGGGACCGGCAATGGGATAGCAACCCTCGGGGTTGCACCCGCACCTTGCTCAGCCAGTGAGCGGCCGGTCTGTATGTGGGATCCGAACCCTCGGCGGGAGCGTTGCCGCACTCCCAAGCGGCGCACTGTAGCAATGCGCCACCGGGCCGGCCCCTTCAAATTTTTCTGTACTGAGATTACGAATGGGTGAAAGGAAAAGAAACGAATCTTTAATGAGTTTTGTATCCGCGGGTACATCACATGCATTAACTCACTTGATCTATCAGGGAGATGTTATCCCATTTGTGGCTCAGAGAGGTTAAGTAACTCTCCCAGGGTCACACAGCAGGGGTAGGGGTCAGAGTGGGCAGCAGAACTAGATCAGAGCCAGAATCTGGGCCTCTCTTGATCAGGGAGGGAGCAATGAAGAAAGAACCCAAAAGGTGCCACAGGGCTTTCTCACTGAAGGTCATGCCCCAACCTCAGGGTCAGGCCTGGCTGGTGCCCTTCTCCAGCCACTGGCTACACAACCCCACCCCCACTGGACCAAGCTCAGCCACCTGGTGCTTCTGTCCATGCTCTTCCCCCACTGCCTGCAGGTCCTTCCTCCTCCTCCTCTTCACGCTTACAACCCCCATCCTCAAGGCCAAGCTCATTCAGGCTTCTTCCAGGAAGTCTTCCCTGATAACCCACTCATGAGCCCCTTGGCCTCCCACAGCCTGGCAGTGATCACAGACGCCTTCACCCAGATGACCACATGCCTCCTCATGGGTCCCCCTACTGCCATTCTAACCCTCACAACCCACTCTCCACACGCCAGCACAAGGGACATGAGAAAGGACCCTCCTCTGCTAATGTCCCACAACAACAGCTCTCAGCACACTGACACCCGAAGGCCCTGCCCTTCCGGATCTGCCTCGGCCACCCTCCCCACCTTCTTTTCACACTCCCCTCTGCCCAGACTTGTCTTCTTTCTCCTTCTTAACACACCAAATTCAGTCCTGCCTCAGGGCCTTTGCATCACCTGCGATGCCCCACCCCCACCCCATTTTCTCTTGCCTGGCTTCTTCTCATTGTTAGAATGCCTCCCACGAGTACAGGAGGATTGGCCACCTTGGAAGGGGAGCCTGGGCCTTCAAACGAGGCTGTGCTTGGCAGGGCCTGCCTGTGTAGGTCTGCCAACTGCCCTACCTTTGGCTCTATCTTTCCTTGACCCCTACCCAGGGCCCAGATTGTCCAGTCTGGCTTCTGGCTGTCTTTGGTCTCTCCAAACTTTCATGCCAATCAGATGGCATGAACAGTGGCCTACCTTGCTGGCAGGAGTGTAATCAAAGCAAGGATTTGTGCCCAAAGATGTTTATCACAGCATTATTTATCAAAGTGAAAAATAAGAAACAATCACAATTTCCAACTAAAGAGAATGAGTAAGAAAACGTTTCTAATTCCTTCTACCATACTCCTCTCAGTTTAAAACCCCCCAGCAACTCCCCACTTATTAGGATGAAAATGAAATTCCCCGCACAACCCCGAGCCACCCCCACCCCACCCACCCGCATCTGCCTCTGCCTGGAAGACCCTCCCCTCTTCACTAAGTGAACTGTTCCCCTCCGGACCTTAGCTCCCGAGTCCCCTCTCTAAGGAAGCCTCTGCTGACGTCCCAGACCCAGTCAGGCCCCCGTCATGGGATCCCATCACACTCAGAGTTCCCCTCAGACTGGGAGCCCCATGAGGGCCAGGACCACAGCAGGTTTTACCCAGAGTGAGCTCCAGGAGAGGACTGTGTCAACAAAGCAGGTCCTTCACTTACACTTGTTGAATGAAGAGAATATTTCATAGCCAGTAAAAATGATGGGCGTGTGAAGTTTGTAGTGACATGAAAAAATGCACTGGAACACATTAACTAAAAGGCAAAAAAAAGGTATTCTTTTTCTTTTTTTTTTTGGCAGCCAGGCAGTAAGCGGATCTGAACCCGTGACCCTGATGTTATCAACACCACGCTCTAACCAACCGAGCTAACCGGCCAGCCAAAAAGCATGTTTTCAGGTTGGATATGCAGCATGATTGCAAATAGGCAAGAAAGTAGAAGGATATACAGAAAATAAGAAAAGCTGCCTCCAGTACGGGATATGCACAATTTTACCCCTGCATCAAACTTTCCAAATATTCCACAGTAGCTGGCTTATCTTTATCATCAGAAAAAGCAAATAAATAATAGCTACCCTCTAGCTATTTGCCCTCAGGGCTGGTGCCTCCTGTGAGGTGCCCTCTGCCCCCCCAGGGCAGGGGTCTGTGTAGCACGTAAGGCTGTTGGGAAGATCCATTAGGACAACCTCAGGCCCTGGAAAGGAATGAATGGGGGTGGAGAGGCTGGGGGCGGCTGGCATTGAATTCTGGCTGTGTTCTACTGGCCAAGTGACCTCAGGCGAGGCGCTGGCCTCTCTGGACCTCTACTTCCTCATCTCTAAGTGTGGACAACAGTGGGGACCCCTCCCTGAGTTGGGAGAGCATGAAAAGGGGCAACGCACACTAAGCATGCATTGGAGCCTGTTCAACAGTTAATTTGCAAAGGGATCACAGCCAGACACAAGGAAGAACTTCCAGTGAACCCCTGGCCTCCAGGCTGGTCAAGGTGGCCCATGTTTTTGGGGATCCTCCAGCAAACTGCACCCCCCACGCAGCCCTCTCGCCCTACCACCTTCGGCCCACACACCTTCTTTGGAGCCGGTGGCTGTGGCCACTGCAGAGGCTGAGGCTGAGCCAGTGGACGTCCGGCCCACGGGGCTGGAGTGCTTCCCCCCACGGCCGGGGGGCTTCAGGCCGCTGGGCTTCTGCATGGCTGTGCCACTGGGTGGGTGGACAAGGGTCAGTACAGGTCACGTCCTTCCCACCATCCTCACTCACCTGTGGGCAGAGAACAGGAGAAGTCACATCATAATGTCCCCAGACACCAGAACTTTGGCTAGATCCTCAGTGCATGCCGGTGCTGACACAGCATCTTTACAGGACTCCAACACCTCCTTATCCTGTGAGGCAGGGACTATCATCACCCTCACTTTCTAGATAGGGAGCTGAGGCACAGAGCAGCGGGCCCAGGTTACACGGCATGGCCAGGTGGCGTGCTCTCTCTGGAATCAGGAGCAAATTGGCCTGGGGGTCTGCAGTGAGGGCTGCGTTAACCCCAGCAGCCCTGTGCCAGGGTCAGCACTGCCATCGACAGGCTGAACGTGGCTCTCACCACAGAGCATGGGCTGGTGTGGTTTCTGACACGCACGGGCAACCCCGTAGGTCACTTTCCAGTGGCCCCCTGACCCTGGAGGACTAGCCAGCAACTTCATCCCTCCTGACAAGGCAAAACTTGCCTTGATGGATCAGCTCATGGACCCCCTTGCCACACAGGCCACTTTCTGGCCCTTGGGCTCACCATCCCAGCCCCCGCCCGCTCCAGCCCAGGTATGGGGACAAACACACAGAGAAGCTGACCCTCATTCACTCCCCTCCCTCACCCACATGGGGCCCCTCCCTCAATCCCACACTGGGAAAGACTTGCTGGGCCCCCGCCTGCCTTTCTACCATGACAGCTTTGTGCCTTTAGGACAACACGGAGAAGGGGTGGCACATACCACTTACAGGGGGCCATCTTGGTTACCACATGGGAGGGTGCGCCAGGGACCTCTGCCAATGCAGAGAAACAGAGCTGAGTCCCTGGGTCTGGAGGGCGTGGATCCAGCTGAGCCTGAAGCCAATAGCTTGAGCTCTGCACTTATATCAGCCCACAACTCCCCCCAAAACACATGCACTGTTTGCTCTTTCTCTCTCTCACTCTGTTTTTGTTGCTTAAACCTATTTGAGGGGCGCTGTCATGTGCAACCAAGAGTTCTGACTGACAGAAAAGCCAACCCACAATGCTCATGGCAGGAATGTGCATAGTATCCTCAGAAAGGCCCTCTGGCCAGCAAGATGAGTGAGCAATGCTATCACCTATCCTGGCACAGTTTGGGAAGGACCAGCGGGGCCATCAGCTCTAGGAGCAGAGAAGAATGAGCTTCCCCAAGGCACATGGCACTGGTGCCAACATGCCCAGGTGACACACCCAGGTGAGCCAATGGGAGTATCAGGTGTGCCCGTCAGCCCAGGCCTGGCCCCCAGAGCCTGCCAAATCCAACATTTCAACTCGCTGGTACCCCAGGAATTCTGGGGGCCAGGAGTCACTTGGTCAAGTTTAGGTGTGAGGCTACTCCCTTGCTCCTGGAACTGGCCCTCTGGGTGGCCAATTCACTATGGAACTGGATGGTGGGCTCTGCACATCTCTCTCCATGAGACTGGTTAAGCCGAGCCTGAGGGGAACTGACTGAGCCAGCAAGGGTGAGTGAGGGGGGTTGCTGGTAACAGAGAATGTCCCCCCTTTGGGTGACCAAATGGGCCCCCTGCTGCAGTGGCTTAGCCAGGGGACCCTCTGATCCAGGAAATCCTGAAACCCCATGCACGTGAGGCAGAGGAGAGTGTGTTGCTAGGACTGAAGCAAGGTGCAAGGACCCTGTCCCCTCTCCTCCTCTGTGTCCCTTTCTCTGCCTGAAACCCTCCCACAGAGAAAACAGCTGCAAATCACACCTCTAATAAAGGACGGTATTCAGAAAGAACTCTTACAACTCACTAAACAGAAGACAAACAACCCAATAAAAAAATGAGCAAAAGATTTGAATACACATTTCACCAAAGAAGATATAGACGGCCAATAAGCACACGGAAAAATGATTAACATCATTAGTTATGAGGACATTGCAGATCTAAAGCATGATGAGAAACATGATGACAATTCACACAGATTGGAATGTCTAAAAATGACAAAAACTGACAATATCACGGGCTGATGAGGATATAGAGCAACTGGAACACTCGTTGTCAGTGGAAATGAAAACAATACAACCACTCTGAAAAACAGTCGGGCAGATTCTCAAAAGGTTAAATGTCCACCTACCATACGACCCAACCACTCAAGAGAAGTAAAAGCATATGATACGAAGATCTGTAAACATTCACAGCAGCTTTATTCATAAAAGCCAAAAAGCAGTAAGTCCATCAATGGGTGCAGGTATAAACAAAAGTGGTAATCTACATAGCAGAATACTGCTTGGCAATAATGAGGAACTACTGGTACAGGCCACCGCATGGATGGACCTCAAAATCATTACACTGAGTGGAAGAAACCAGACACAAAAGACCACATATTGCATGATTCCATTCATATGAAATTTCAGAACTATAGACAGATCAGCGGCTGCCTGAACATGGGAGAAGGGACTGAGTGCAAATGGACACAAGAGAACTTTCTAGGTGGTAAAAATGTTCTAAAACTGGACTGTGGCGATGGCCGCATGACTACATTTATACTGAAAGTCATCAAACTGTACACTTAAAATGGGTGAATTTTATGGTATGTAAATTAAACCTCAATTTAAAAAAAATTATATAAAAAATAAAATCTTTAAAGGGTCCCCACCAAAGTTAGTGCAATGGTCTTCAAGGTTCTTCTCATCTCTCTTCTCTTCCCTCCACCACTATGACCCTCCCTGACCCTCCACTCTAGATATACTGGCCTGTGGCCACTCCCGGATCATATTAGGCACCCTGCAGCCTCAGGGCCTTTGCACATGCCTGGAATGCTTTTCCCTCAAATATCTCAAGCTTGCTGCTCACCTCCTTCACTATCCACTCACACGGCCCTTCTATGATTGCAATTCCTACCTGGTTCTCCCCACCCCCTACTCTGCTTTTGCTTTTCTCTACTGCATGAGGATGGGGTCTTGGTTCTACTTGTTTACTGGGGTCCCCTTAGTCCTGACAAGGATGCCTGATGCACACAGGTACTCACGGATCACTGCTGAATGAGTGAATGGCAGCTGTCTGTTGTGAGGAGAGGCCTAGGCCCTCCTGACCTCCTCACGGCCCAGCACTCAGGATGGAGTGGTTCTTGGTGATCAGCCCAGGTGATGTCAGACATCACGGCCTTTCACACAGCCCATGCCCACTAGCCAGTGTGCCCTGTGAGGCAGGGACCAGGCATGATAACCATCTCCCTGGCACTAGCTCCCCAACTGGCCTTGCTGATAATGACCCCAGATGTCCTCACGACACACCTAGTGCTTTCCCACCTCCCAGATGCTGCTTGTGCCTTTTCTCCCACCTGCTTCACTTCACCTACTGAACACCCAGCCCAGTGCCGCCGCCTCCAGGAAGTCTCCCAGCCCTTTGGCCCACAGAGACCGCAGGATCACATGCTGAGCCAAGGAGGAGATGTTCTTGTCTATCTTCATCTTGCCTCCTGGGAGCCAATAGGTAACCTCAGGCAGGGCCTCCAGTGCCGCCGCCTCCAGGAAGTCTCCCAGCCCTGTGGCCCACAGAGACCGCAGGATCACATGCTGAGCCAAGGAGGAGAGAGTACAATGTTCTTGTCTATCTTCATCTTGCCTCCTGGGAGCCAATAGGTAACCTCAGGCAGGGCCTCCATCTCTACTCTCTGAGAATCCAGCCCTAGCATGGTGGCTGGCACTGAGCCTGTGATCCGGAAACTCCATGTGAGAGCACTCCTGTGGTGGCCCAGAGGACAAAGGCCTTCAAGGCCACAGATCCCCAGAGACGCTCCCCCCAGGGAAGGCTCCCATGGTACCCTGCTGACCTCCCAGACCCCAGTGATCCTAGCAGACTCCAGTAGGAAAAACCTGTCATCTGCTAGACTTTGCACGAATGTGGCCTTGTCAGTCGTCACAAGCCCTTGAGGACACCATGGCCATCTGAAAGGGGGAACATCTGAAGCTCAGGGAAATTAGGAGACTCAAGGTCACACATTGCTGAGCAGCTGTGCTGGAATCGCATCCCCACCTGGCCTTTCACTAACTCCCTGCACTGCCCAGCTCAGCCCTGGAATAACAGTTGTGAGACCCTGGCCTCTGGGGACAGTGCCCGCTTGCCACATTGACAAAGAGACCAGAGAGCTGGCAGGAGAGGAGAACCAAGGCAGCATTCAGTCAGCCCCAGCCACCCCTGCTGAGGGCACAGAGAAGGGGAGCCGGCGGGGGAGCAGCCCCCCTGCACCCAAGGAGCGCCCGGAACCAGGGTGAGGAGAGGAGAGTGGTGAACAGGAAGAGGGGGAGGCCAGCCACCCTTCTGTGACTCAGCTGTGCCTGTGGTACAGAGGAAGAGGGGGTTTCTTGGAAAAAGCTGGGCCATGGAGATGAACTGGCCTCTGGGGGAGGCAGGGAAGGGGTGGAGTTAAGTCCTGTGCAGCCAGAGGTCCGAGCCGCAGACCTGCAACATGTGGCCCTGCCACAGCCTCGGTTTTGTCACCTGTGAAATGGGGTACACATTTTGCTGCCTCATGGGAGTGCTGACGCCCCTGCCTCCATCATGGCCTCTGGGGCCCGGGGCCCAGAGGAGGCAGGCAGCACTCCCAACAGACATTGATGGCCATTTACAAGACAAGCCTGGCTGCACTGCAGGGTGTGCATTTCAGCTGCCTGGGGGTGGCAGGCCGGGGTTTCAGTGGGACGAGGCCCAGGGACTCTGTCCATCAGCAGCCCCGACAGAAGAGGGGAAAGTGCCAAGTATGCACTGGAAAGCCCACTCTGTCTGGCCAGTGTCGCCCGAGGGTGAGGGAGGTGGGCACCAGGAAGGGCTCCGGAGCAGATGCGCCTGCTGAGGCCTGGCCACGGCCCACCTGGGTGCTCCTGCTGGGAGGGGTGGGCACTGTGGCAGTGGGGACGCTGCTGCTGGCTGAGGCTGGGCTGTGCCCACACCTCCCTGATGCCTGCTCTCCCAGGGCCATCCGCACAGTCCTGGC